TCCTGCGTTAGCAATCTCCGCGTCAAAATTTTCACGTGTCCGCACGTGAGCGCCGGACGGCCCTAAGGAGCTAAGTTTGAAAAATTTGGTCATGCGTGAACAGGGAACATCCCCCCCAAAGTTTCGACTTTCTTGCTTTTCTCATTCTCGAGTTACGAATTTTTTCGCCACAATTTTCACGTGCCCGTACGTAATTCCCGCTAAGTCCTGGGGAGCTGAATTTGAAATTTTTTGTCACACGCAAGTAGGGAACATTTCCTATGGTCCCAGCTTCCTAGCTCTTCCCGCTCCCAAGTTGACAATTTCCTCGCCAAAATTTTCACGTGCTCGTACGCGAGGCCCAGGCGTGCATGAAAGCTGATACCGCGGTCCTGGGATGGCACCTGAGGGGCGGGGAGGGGTGGGGGAACATACTGAAAAAATTTCAGCTTCAAAGCTTGCGTAGTTGGCGAGTTGAAATACCTGAACACACACACACACATACACACACACATACACATACACAAACACACATACACACTGACAGGGTCTTTGAAATATGCGTTTTTGCCGCCTGTTGCAGCGCTCTAGTGCTGCACGGCAAAAACGCATAAAAATGAGCCAATTTTGCGGCATTTAAGTGAAGACATCAACAATGCAACAATCTCACCAAGCAATGATGTACCGCGGTAAAGTGGGAAAGAACACCTCTTTGTGTTGCACCACTGAGGGATAAAGCGGTGGACCCCAGAAATGAGTTGTCTCCTCGTGGAAGGAGATACTGCGAGAAATCTGGAGCGTGATATCAAGCAATAACTAAAACTCGGCTCAACTCGGCAAAATGCACTCCTTCGTGTTTGGGCGAGAGGTACGCGAAATATAATTGTTCAGAAGCACTATATGTCTGTTTTGGTGATAACTTGAGACGCAGACAGGTAGCGGATAAAACTCGGTATGGCTCGGCTCCAACGCGCTTGTACACGTTTTTGAGGAAGATACACTTGCACGTGATGGACAACTGCGAAGAATCATAGTGTTGAGCG